GTTGTACTTAATTGTATCTGACCTGCCAAGAAAGCTCATAAACTAGGGATATCCAAGGTAGTTTAGTACCATTTGATCTTGGGGAAGGGCAACCAAATACTGTTTGCTGAGCCCGTTTTGCCAATAACACCTTCTAATTCTGTCCTCTCCTGCTGCACACATCTCTCCTACTGCTCCTGCCACTTCTTAGTGAATTCTCTGCCCAGTAGTTGATGACCATCTTCACCCAGCTGAATCTCCAAGGCCAGCAAGCCACCTTACATACTGACAAGAAGCGGGCTGCCTCCCTCCAACTTTTAGTCGTCATAATGTGACTACTCATGTTTATGCTGAACAGAGCCCCGAGCCTGGTCAGATAGCACCTCTGACAGTTTCTGCAGTAGCAGCCATCACTGAATACATTTCAAGTGATCAATTTTCTTAAAAATAAAAATAAACCTAGTGAGTGCACATATGCTAACAAGTTAAAAATAATAATAGGTGTCTGTGACCATGCTGCTTCTGTCTGAATCCTTCAGGGGAATGCAGTTGCTAAGAACAACTTACACAGCTTGCCATATTTCTATGTGTTAAACAACAACCAAATAACTATAGGCAAAAGTCCCAGCTGTCAAGAATGAGGAGTGTAGGGGATGATCGGGGGAGTAAAAGGCATTTTTCTCCTGTGTTATATATGCATATTAGATAATTTTAAAGGAAAATGAAAGTGAGGCAAGGACAGAGTAGGAAGCATGCTACCGATGCTTGAAATTACCATGCCCAGAAGTTTACTGCAAAAATTCTGTTTGACCAGTAGCTCTGTTCTTTATATATTGCTCCTAGCAGTGTTTTACAGCAAATCTTTCCCAAAGGGAGTGCCCTGCCAGGACTTCCAGATAGCAAGAAGGCTGAACATAGTTCAGCTACCCATCTAGGATTTCTCTTCCAGGCAGGTCTCAGATACAGTGACAGGAACCGGAGGCAAGTGTTAGAAGTAGCATCCGTGACTGCTGACTCATTCCACAGAAACAACATTTGGGCCTCACTTTTCAATCGTGTCAGTCTAGGCTCTTTTTATGAGATGTTTTGTTTCAAACTGCCAATAATCAATATTGATTTGTAGGACAGAGGCAAGAAAAGCCATCTTTGTTTCATCATACACAAAGATTGGAGAAGTTACTTAGGCTTTTAACAAAAGTCTTTTGATTTTGCATGACTTCATTTTATTTCCAAGGTCTTTCTACTCAGCCACAAAACTTATCCCTGTGTTGGAAACCGACACACAAGCTATGAGCTCAGAGCTTTGGTTTTTAACATACATATTGGAAAACCTGAAGAGGACATCTCCCTCCCCCCACACCCAGGGTTCAGTACATGCTATACATGGCATGCCTACTGATTTTACTGGTGGTCTTTGTCCTGGTTTTGGCTGGGATAGAGTTAATTTTCCTCTCAGTAGCTGCTGTGTTTTGGATTTAGTATGAGAAGAATGTTGATAACACTGAGGTTTTCAGCTGTTGCCAAGAAATCAAGGACTTCTTCCAGTCTCCCATATTCAGCTAATGAGCAAACATGCAGGAGCCGGGAGGAAGCACGGCCAGGCAGCCAGCCCAGCAGAAATATTCCACACCATGGATGGCATGCTCAGTTTATGAATTGAGGTTGGCTGAGCGGGCAGGACTCACTTTTTTTGTGAGTTCTGTAAAATCCATGACATCCACGTTCCGGTCACTGCTCGGGGACCGGCTGCAAATTGGTCATCAAGTGGTGAGACAAATTGTACTGTGTATAGCGTGCTTTGCATATTCTTTACTACTACTACTATTATTATTATTATTATTATTACTATTTCCTTTGTTGTCTTATTAAACTGTCTTTATCTCAACCCACGAGTTTTACTTGTTTTCCCATTCTCCTCCCTATCCGCTGCGGGCGAGGAATGAGTGAGTGAGCAGCTGCGTGATCCCAGTTGCCAGCCAGTGGCTGCATGGTCCTAGTTGCTGGCTGCTGGGCTAAACCACGACAGTCTTGCAAGGAAAGGATGACGAGAACAAAATAATCATGACAATTAGGAGAGGGCACCTTTTCTTCACTTCCCCAAACTTATACCCATGGCACAGGAAGGAAATGCTGTTTTGCCATTTTGAGAGTTTGTCTCTATGTATGCAGTATATAAATAATAAACACAGAGCAAATAAATAGAATAATTTCTAAGATTTGAAGTGGATAATAAGTTAAAATTTCAAAGCAGAAATATGACAAGAGGCAGGTAAGTATAGCTAGCAAGGCACAGACCCAAGAGAATGCTGAGGATACAGTGAGTTAGTGATCTGCAGACTTACAATTATGCACATACGGCTTTAAAAAAAATTGTGTTATTAGCACCTGTACCATCTTTTGGCTCCACATGATTTAGGCGGGCATTTGAATGTGGTAGAGGTTTTACTGCCTATCAAGATATTGATTCATAAACTAAAAATTCTCTTTGTGGACCTTAACATAATGCTCCTTAAAAGCTCATGAAGGATCACAGAACTCTGACAAGTCAGTATTTCATGTTTTATTCATTTCCTACTTAGCCAGTTCTTTGAGTGGTTAAATTTAGTATCTGTAAACCTCCTAGTTGGATATTTACCTGAAAAAGCTCGAAAGGCTGATGGATAAGCACGTGCTTAGAGAATTCTAGTATGGAGTTTAGAAAGTACACACACTGAAAAAAAAGTTACTTAAATAATAAGGGATGGGCATAAACCAAGCATCATTTTGAAAACCTGTACAATTATATGTGCATGCTGTTAATTAATTATGGCCTTATATGTAAAGCATGTTCTCATCTCATAATTAATTTTTTCTGAACATGCCTAGCTCTGCATTATCTACAGCAATAGAATCGTCTATTTCTTTATTGGCTCTTAATGGGCATTCATTGTCGATCATGACATGATACAGTTTCAGTCACTTCTGCATCTTACCAAAATGTTACAGAGGAAGCAAACTATTTCAGAACTAAAATCAATGACCGTATCAAATCTCTCCCCATGAGCTTCTAGCATATGCTCTGATTTTAGAAAGTGATTGTAGACATTCAGTCTGATTCATTCCTCATAAATCCACCAACAGGCATTTGGAGATATAAGGCAAAACACCAAGTACCTGCTTATAAATTGGACATAATCTCTTTAGTACACTGAAGGAGAGAATAACTTCCAGTTGGAAAAACAGTGTGCTAATGCACTTAAAGATTATTATGCATGTGCACAAGGGAACTGATGTTGCTTATACAGCTGATTTTGAGTGGTTGTAGGTGGTTGACTTGGAAGTCACAACCTTTTCTTCTTCTTGCTTTTATAGAATCTTTTAGTGTATAAATAAAATGTATAAATAGTAATAATGTATTTATTACTGTTGATGCAATGTGGGGCCTAAGAAAAGAAGTACACAAAGATATGTAAAATCAAACCTATTGCCTAAGTATATACATAGTATCACTCCAGAACAATGTTTTAAGCACACAGATTTTCAAACTTCACTTCCAATATAACATCATTCATAGTGTTTCATCTAGAAATTCTTACAGTGGAACCAAATGCAAAAGTATATGTGTTCAGCCCAAAAAAATGTGCTTGAAATTAGGCATATGCTTTAGAAAGCCACCCTCTGCATATTTAAAGCTTTCAAACAGCCATTACTAGTTTCCCTGGGTAAACTGGTCTATAGACAAACTATACTCTACAGTCAAGAATGCAGGTATCTTCCTATGTGTATTCACATAGGAATTCACCGAACTTCAACTTTCACTGCAGTTCCCTGACCCGTTGTTTGATGCCCGATTGAAAACTCTCTTAATATCCCCTGTAAGTATAGATCAAGATACTTCTTTTCCTTCTCTTAAATTAGGGCCTTAAGTTATCATACAAAGGTATTTTAAGAACTCAGCTCCCAGAAACTCTCAACTTTTTTCAGCTTTTTTCTATAATTTTTCAGCATTTGTGGAATTCTACATTAAATTTTAACAAAGTGAAAGCATACAGAACACACCGTAAGATCAGCAACTCTTCGATTTACTTATTTCTGTGTTGGAAGTCTAAATCTTAATAATTTTTTTAGTAGAATTTTTAATAATATTCCCATTAGAAAGCAGGGAGTTTTCGACTCCTGATCACTTCAATTATTCTATCTGTAGAGCCATCTGCAAGTTATCTTGACTAATTAAAGCCAAAGAATTTAAAACCTTAACTTATATTAATTTGCTTTTGGTGCTTACTCTAAATTCCAATAAAGTTGTACTGGACATTCAAATTCTCCATTCAGACACATTCTGAATGTGCTTATTCGCACAACTAAAATCTGTGCTGTTCCCCACACCAATGTAATGCTGCTGGACAAAAAATACCTTTCTAACACAAACTGCTATGCTTCAGAGTAACTAAAAAAATCATTTTTAGGGTAGGATTGATACTAATTATAATTGATTTTGATTTACTTTATATTTGCTAAACTTGCTCTTAAATTAAAAATAGGGAAGTGCGGTTGGTACAAGTGCAGCTATTGGTATACAGATATTTTGAAAATCCAAGGAAAACAAAATTATTTTCAACAGAAATATTCCCTTTTCTGCACTGCCTTGCATTTGTTACACATTCAAGACTTCCATCAATTTTAAATGGGAGTTCTGGGTGTGTCAGCTCTGTAAGACTGGTATTTCATAGGGAAATGTGCACATAGAAAGGAACTGAAAAAGAGAATTCACTTTGGAAAATTCAACTCAGTTTGCCACTGTGTTCAATATATTTCAAATCCCGTAATACCTAGTAGTTTTTACAAAGGTCACTGTAAAATCATATCCTGTATTACTACATATTTCAGAAAGTGTTCCTTGTCTGCCAGCTGTTCAGCTGAACTTTGTTAATGAGGGCAAAGTTTTCTAGGGTTATCACTCTGATCCTTAAACTGTATTATCTAGAAAACTATAAACCTTATAAAAAAAAGATATAGCAAGGTTTATAAACCATTCTCTTAGCAGATCCTGTTTCCAGTCTCACCTTTTGATCTGAGGTTGGTTTTAAGCTCTTGCCACCATGCCTGCTGATTACAATGGGACGTGGGAAATGGAAACCAATGAAAACTTTGAAGGCTACATGGTTGCTTTAGGTAAATGAAAAAATATTATCTATATAGAGATAAAGAAAAATGTTTCAATTATAAGCAAAATCCTTCTAAAAATGAATGAGACTATTTCTGTAATGTGTGTTGTGGCATAAGGGTTTCTGCCAATCACATTAACAATCAAATAATTGTAATGTACATCCAATTACAATGATCGAAGTATATACACAAGAGAAGATATGTAGCCAAAGATATTAGTCTTTATTTAGATAAATGAAAAAAACAGATACAGATGGGTAAGAAAAAAAAAGCAACAAAACCCAAGCTTTCAGATAGAGAAGCTGGTTTTTATTCCTGGTATGTAATTACTGTAACAGTCAAGCTACAACCTGGTTGGCTCTTAAAGAAGAATAGGAAATTCTGTATCACTAAAGCAACAGTAATGTTTGGTACTTAATTAGTGCTTTGACCTAGTAGAAATTAAACATACCAGTTGCATGGTAAAGGCGATAAAAGTCTTTAAAAGCATTTGAAGATAAATGGGCAAACATTTCTGAAAATTTTTGTGGGAGTCATCCTTACACAACAAGGAGACTTAGGTCATAGGAGTTCTTAAACATATGTTTACATGATTAACTAAGCTTAATTTCACTTGGCTATGACCATCACTGATGATAACAATATATGTGTACATGCAAAAAGAGATGCTCTGCTCTTTGGGCAACCCTCATTTACTACTTTGTTAGCTTCTTTATTGTTAGAGGCCTGATAGCTACAGTCTGTGTGTCCATTGTATGGGATATTAAGCACACTATTTGTAGACGCTAGAATGACAAAACAGTTAACTGAATGCAATCAATATCCTTGTCAGTTCTCATCAACATCCAGTTTATGTTGTTTGCAGAATTCTTTTTCCCCACACCGACAACAGACTCAATTTTTGTAATGACTGTGAGATAATTTGATGAGAGAATTGTCTTCTTTTGCTGCACTTATTATTTTCAAGATCTGAAGAACTTGTTTGCTCAGATTCCAAAATATCTACTTCATAGAATCATAGAATTGTTTAGGTTGGAGAAGACCATCAAGATCATCGAGACCAACCATTAACCTAACACTGTCAATTCCACCACTAAACCATGTCCCTAAACTCTGCATCTGTATGTCTTTTAAATACCTCCAGGGATGGTGCCTCAACCACTTCCCTGGGCCGCCTGTTCCAATGCCTGACTGCTCTTCAGTGAAGAAATTTTTCCTAATATCCGATCTAAACCTCCCCTGGTGCAACTTGAGGCCATTTCCTCTCGTCCTATTGCCTGTTACTTGGGAGAAGAGACCGACACCCACCTTGCTACAACCTCCTTTCAGGCAGCTGTAGAGAGTGATATGGTCTCCCCTCAGCCTCCTTTTCTCCAGACTGAACAGCCTCCGTTCCCTCAGTCCCTCCTCATAAGACTTGTCTTCTAGCCCCTTCACAATTCAGTGGTTCAAAATCAACGAGTACACGGTATTGCTGTCTTCCACAGGCTAAGAAATTTTATTTGTTAGAAAGAGTTGTCTAACATATGGAAAGGTAATCAGGTAATTAAATCTAACAATTTTCAAGTAATTCTCAATGTCTGCACTAGTGAATGACTTAGGATAACTACCACAAAATCCTTAACTGGGATAAAAAATGTGGTGCTTTAACTGATTTTCTATTAGTTTTACTCCCATCAAAGAATCTTAACCCTAATTTATTTATCTGTTCAGACTAAAAGAGAAGAAATACACATAAACGCATAAAAATAAACTCATCATTATTCAACAAGAACTGAAAATAGTTATCTTTTCCTCAAAGCTTCAACTCTTTTAAGAAAGGCAGGTTTCACTATTCATAGTTTTTAGCCTTTGCATTTATGGAGAAAAGTTCAATAACTTTAGGGAAGTCTGTAAATACTATACAGATATACCTATGAGGTATAAAAAAATTCATTTTCAAAAAATATGAACGGTTAAGCAAAAATCATGAATTTCAGGAGAAAGACAGACACTAACTGAAGTCACTTGAGTGCTGGGGCATTTCAGCATTAAATGTGCCAACTGCAAGTGAGCCATGGGGCCTGTTGGTCTGGATGATATTTAGGTCAAGCCCTAACTGTCACTAATTGACTATTCCAGGCTTTCTTCATCTACCTCAGGCTTCTCTCACTGCCTGAGCCAGCTTCTGGTCTTACCTACAATCCTTGCCTCTAGCCCAATTCTCTCTGCTTGGCTCTGCCTCAGTCTTGTCTCAGCTCTTTGCTCCAAGATTCAACCTACTTTTGTGGGGTGTTACTCTAACCACCAGTCATGATGGTCATCCTGCTCTAGTTCTGCCTTGCTTTGTACTGAGAAATTTCACTGTATATGATAACTGTCTTTTAATAATAATCTTGATAAAGATCTCTTTACTTTTTAGGTTTATTCCTTCCTTCTTTTTCAGGATGCAAATTAAACACTTCTGGTGTACATATCTCCTTTCCAAAAGGATTTGTAATTACGGTGATATCTTTTCATTCGGTTGTAATGGACATTTCATTATTGTTCTGTTCTTCCCTTCCAGGGTATCATCAGATGAGATTCTTGTACTGTTTATTTGAGTTGAGCTATAACATTTCACTTGTGTTTGTCTTAAAATCCAGGAAAAATATCAGGAAAAAGGACAGCAGCTACTAATAACAGACAAATTCAGTAAGAATTTAATGTCTAACTGTCATTACATAAGTATTAATTATATCAGCTTTAAACTAAACTTCAATTATTATCATCCTTATGTTCTGATCCTTTTATAATAAGTAACCCATTTTCCAATTTTATAATTCTTTTTGTACTATAAATGCTAGCATGAACTGGTTTACAGCAGTTCCTCATTGCATCTCAGTGGCATCCTTAGAATCATTTCAGTCAGTGGACAAATTATGACTTTTTTGTTATTAAATCAAGTGGATTTTTGATCCCTTTCTGATCTTATATATCCCAGTGGAAACTGGGAGAAAAACGGATGGATTCAGCCTACAATGGGGTCTGGATTACAGGCATCCAATACGGGGAAGCCTGCTTACAAAAAGATAGCAACATCTAATGAAAATAAAAGAACTTGACCCACTCAGTAGCCTGAAACAAAGCAAGAGGAAGAATGTTTTAGAATAAGGAATGCAATATAGATATATTTTTCCTGGGGCAGATTGTACTGGAGAGGTACTCACTGAACTTTCTGATAAAATTTTCAAACTGTTTTCCCAATAAGAATGCCAGCAACTGGTTGGGATGAAGGAGCTATTTGCACCAGTTTTCTGGATCTGGCCCTTCATAAGTATATAATTTTTTTTGTGTATACATGCATACATATATTATAACAACATCAAAAACAATGCAAAGATGCATATGGCTGTAGATGATTCTCAGAATGGGAAGAAATTACGTGGAAAGGATGAAAAGGTACTCTTCTGATCTGTTTCGCACAATTTTACATGTGGTTGATATTTTAAGTATTAAAGTGCTTGGGTTCAAAGCACACTGAGGTTTTGTTTTTTTAAAATTCATCCATCCTTTTAATAATTGCACATCCATTTCTATACTTTAATTATTAAAGAATAGCTTTTCCCTTTAAGCCAGAAACTTTGATTTTATCATAAACACGTTACAAAGTATTTTAATCTACTATAATAGAGCAATGTATCATTTTTATTGCTTGTATTGTTCAAAATGCAGTTATGAAAACCATGCTTTAATAAAACCTCCCCTGATTTTTCTCCAGGAGCTACAAGACTAATATATTAGTCAGAATTCACATTTCTTTAGAAGTCTAGACATTTTTTTTCCTCAGAGAGAACTAAATTTTATGGTACCTGGCTATAAATCAGACCCAGAGATACCTTTAATCCACTATAGCAGATAAAATATACCCAAGAAATCTCGGATATAAATACTGAACAAGAACATTATTCCCCTTATTAAAAAGTTACATTTTTTTAAGCCCATCCTCTTACTCAACTTGATTAGTACTTCACAAGTAGTATAATGAATCTACCAAAAGAAAAAGGACTCCATTAGTATGTGGCATTGCTGAGCTGAGAATGATTAACTGGCATGCGAAACCACTAAAGGATGGCTAACAAACCAACACCATTTTTCAATCTCTTGCAGAAGTATGTGAGATTATTTCATTTGCATACAGCACCATAATAAGATTCACTGCCAGCTGGTCAGAAATATTTATTGCAGATGGTAATGCAGCTGGCACTAGGCGGATTGTCTGGGGCAAACTGTCAGGATGGTAATATATATTCTCCTTTTGGTAACTTTCAATGCATACAGTTGCAATCAATTGTTTATGTTATAATGTTAGTCTTCATCATGAACAAAATAAGGATGCTAAGGAGATTGGTACTGCATAAAATGTTGACAGAATATTAAACAGGAACTGCCAAATGCTATACTTTCATACTTTTTTGACTTTTGACTTTGAATTTTTCTTCCCTTAACATCTAAATCACAGAATCACAGAATCACAGAATAGTAGGGGTTGGAAGGGACCTCTGTGGGTCATCTAGTCCAACCCCCTGCCAAGCAGGGTCACCCAGAGCAGGCTGCACAGCACCGCGTCCAGGCGGGGCTGGAATATCTCCAGAGAAGGAGACTCCACAGCCTCCCTGGGCAGCCTGGGCCAGTGCTCCATCACCCTCAGAGGGAAGAAGTTCTTCCTCATGTTCAGACAGAACTTCCTGTGCCTCAGTTTGTGCCCATTGCCCCTTGTCCTGTCACTGGGCACCACTGAAAAGAGCTTGGCCCCATCCTCCTGACACCCACCCTTCAGATATTTGTAGGCATTTATAAGGTCCCCTTGCAGCCTTCTCTTCTTCAGGCTGAACAAGCCCAGCTCCCTCAGCCTCTCCTCGTAGTGGAGATGTTCCAGTCCCCTCACCATCCTTGTAGCCCTCCGCTGGACTCTCTCCAGTAGCTCTTCATCCTTCTTGAACTGGGGAGCCCAGAACTGGACACAGTACTCCAGATGAGGCCTCACCAGGGTAGTGTAGAGGGGAAGGAGAACCTCCCTTGTCCTGCTGGCCACACTCTTCTTGATGCACCCCAGGATCCCATTGGCCTTCTTGGCAGCCAGGGCACACTGCTGGCTCATGGTTAACCTGTCGTCCACCAGGACACCCAGGTCCCTCTCCGCAGAGCTGCTCTCCAGCAGGTCCACCCCAAGCCTGTATTGGTGCATGAGGTTGTTCCTCCCCAGGTGCAGGACCCTGCATTTGCCTAAACTCCAAGTTATTTCTCTGTCTGCTATCTAACAATAATGGATAAGTCAGGCTTTTATTGGATTGTTTCTTTTTTATTCATTAGTATAATTTTCATTATTTTTAAATTAATTAATTCACCTCTTGTATACTCCCACAGACTATAGGTTCATCACACAATTCCTGAAAAGGAATATTATTCTGAGATCCTTCTTTTAGGGGTGGCCAACACTTGCAACCCTGCAGGACACATACCAGTACCTGCATATGCCTAAGAGCTACACGATTTACACTGCATGCTTAGGAAAGGGAATAGCTCCCAGGCATAAGATCACAGAATCACAGAATCACAGAATAGTAGGGGTTGGAAGGGACCTCTGTGGGTCATCTAGTCCAACCCCCCCGCCGAAGCAGGGTCACCTACAGCAGGCTGCACAGGACCTTGTCCAGGCGGGTCTTGAATATCTCCAGAGAAGGAGACTCCACAACCTCCCTGGGCAGCCTGTTCCAGTGCTCCGTCACCCTCAGAGGGAAGAAGTTCCTCCTCATGTTCAGACGGAACTTCCTGTGCCTCAGTTTGTGCCCATTGCCCCTTGTCCTGTCACTGGGCACCACTGAAAAGAGCTTGGCCCCATCCTCCTGACACCCACCCTTCAGATATTTGTAGGCATTTATAAGGTCCCCTCGCAGCCTTCTCTTCTTCAGGCTGAACAAGCCCAGTTCCCTCAACCTCTCCTCGTAGTGGAGATGCTCCAGTCCCCTCACCATCCTTGTAGCCCTCCGCTGGACTCTCTCCAGTAGCTCTTCATCCTTCTTGAACTGGGGAGCCCAGAACTGGACACAGTACTCCAGATGAGGCCTCACCAGGGTAGTGTAGAGGGGAAGGAGAACCTCCCTTGTCCTGCTGGCCACACTCTTCTTGATGCACCCCAGGATCCCATTGGCTTTCTTGGCAGCCAGGGCACACTGCTGGCTCATGGTTAACCTGTCGTCCACCAGGACACCCAGGTCCCTCTCCGCAGAGCTGCTCTCCAGCAGGTCCACCCCAAGCCTGTACTGGTGCATGAGGTTGTTCCTCCCCAGGTGCAGGACCCTGCACTTGCCCTTGTTGAACCTCATCAGGTTCCTCTCTGCCCAGCTCTCCAGCCTATCCAGGTCACGCTGAATGGCAGCACAGCCTTCTGGTGTATCTACCACACCTCCCAGTTTGGTGTCGTCAGCAAACTTGCTGAGGGTACATTCTAACTCTTCATCCAGGTCGTTGATGAAGAAGTTAAACAAGACTGGGCCCAGTACTGACCCCTGAGGGACACCACTTGTCACCAGCCTCCAACTAGACTCAGCGCCGCTGATGACAACCCTCTGAGTTCTGCCATTCAGCCAGTTCTCTATCCACTTCACCGACCACTCATCCAGCCCACACTTCCTCAGCTTCCCCAGGAGGATATCATGGGAGACTGTGTCGAAAGCCTTGCTGAAGTCAAGGTAGATAACATCCACAGCTCTCCCTTCGTCTACCCAGCCAGTCATGTCATCGTAGAAAGCTATCAGATTGGTCAGGCATCATTTCCCCTTGGTGAATCCATGCTGACTACTCCTGATAACCTTCTTTTCTTCCACAATCCATGCTGACTACTCCTGATAACCTTCTTTTCTTCCACAAAGATGGTAATAGCACTCCTTTTTCTTCCACAAAGATGGTAATAGCACTCCTGGCATCCCGCAGTTTCATGTCTGAGTGAGGCCAAAAAGGCAACGTCAGTCTTAACAGCCTCTGTGGTTCCACATTCTCCAAAAAAAATGGAGATTCGGGTGATTTAACATGCCAGCATCTATTCACTACTGGTTGTATGTTATAGCTCTGCTCGTAACATTCCCACAGATATCCTGTTAATAAATAAATTTTTAGTCAGTGGAAGATCTTCCAACTGAAAGTCTACTTGCAAACACAAAATTATTTTTATTTGAAATGATCTTTTTCTCTGCAAAATGTTGCAGGTAAACATGTCATTTGTGGAACTATGTTCCACATAAAATGTTATTTTTATTATGTGTAAGTATAAGTGCAGTGTTTATTTTTGGTAAAAAATTTTGGAAGTTTCCTTGTGATACTCTCTTTTCTGTTTTTTGGCAGATATTGATTTTGCGACTCGTAAGATTGCAAAACACTTGAAACAAACCAAGGCGATTATTCAAGACGGAGATAATTTTGAAATAAAAACACTCAGTACATTCAGAAACTATGAACTGAATTACACTGTGGGAGTGGAGTTTGAAGAACATACCCGAGGACTGGATAACCGAGTGGTAAAGGTAAAAATTTGGTACCTAGTATCTGTTTACATTACAGTCAGCACCAGGAGTAAGCAGTTCCAAAAATCAGCTGAATACATGAAAAAAAACCCCAATATTTTACAGACATCAGAGGATTTTTTTAAAGCAGAAATAATTTGCATCTTGAGACAGTTTTCTTTCCTGCTACAAGCGTTTATTATAAACGCAAATCAAGATGGTTACTCAGATACGTGAGGGCAATCATTAATTACAAGTTTTTCTAGTAGGGGATTTCTCCAGCTTTTCTATGATACACCTTTATGTATTCAGAAAGTAGCAAAAGAACTGTATTTTTACATATGTATCTTCCTTAATGAAACTGTAAATTCAGCCCTTTGACTTTAGGACTTTCTCTGTGCCAATATAAAGTTTCAGTTCTGAATGGCTAAGTTCACACTGTATTTTTAATCTGAGCCTGCTCAACCTCAATTGGACAGTTTAACAGCTGGACACCGTAAAAAATAAACCTGCACTCAGCTATTAACCTTAAGGGAGCTTTGGGAAGGGACAACAGAAAAACATGACCCAAAGCTACCACTGGTACGAGCGGCAGGCCTACTGGCATTGGCAGACAGGCAAGGAGGCCCAGCAGTGCATGCTTTACTATCTTTAGCATTATAGGAGTAACCTGAGCTCAAAATTCCCCTAGGAAGCTATGGGCATATGTTCAGACACCTTTCAGTGAGACGTGGAAAAGTAACGTTTGCATCAAGGACCATATTATGTGTTGGCCCATGCCCTACCTCCTGTGACAGAGTCAACTAAGAAGTTTGTTCTTGTGAGGCATTCAGACAAGACTGTCTCAGGGAAGTCAGTGAGGAAAATAATACGTACAAGCACTAACTAAATTCACTTACTGAATTCAGCTTCATGTTTCTGTATCAATACTGCTTCTGTTTTACTCTCTTCTCACCCCTAAAATACTTACGCAAGATTTTCAAAGGTAGAAAGGGCAGTGGATCTTAAATTCCCGTTGACTGTCCCCTTCAGAGTCTTGCTAATCTTGCATCACCTGCCTGTCTTTGTCATCACTCACTGAATCTACCTGTATCAACTCTTCTGCCAATTAACGTAGTTTTATTTTTCCACTGAGCTCTCAGCTCTTTTGCTCTCCTCCAAACACATGCTGTCTTTTCCATCAGTATCTTCTCAATAAACAAGATTTCAGAACTTGTTGCCAAACTCTGAGAAGCTAGGATCAAAGCTCACTGTCACCAAGACCTGTTTTGTTTTGGCAATTGCCACAGGACATTGGCAGCATAAAGGACATGTTTACATTTGCACTCTTATCATCCTTCACTGGAGTGGCACAAATTTAATGGAAGACATTGTTTATTCACTGTGGAACACTTTCATTCTCAAACTAACTTTGTGCAGTGTAATTCCTATGACTTCTTCCAAATTATTTCTCATTCACAGCATGGCAAGCCATCAAATAATAAGACCCATTTCTTCCAGTATCCTGAATATCCTCATCTCTAAATTTTCTTTCTATCACTTTCTCCAGTGAGCACTGGGTGGGACATATTCCTGTGTCAGAGTTATGCTTTAAAACATTGCTCCCACATCTCCTTAGACCAGCTGAAGGCATTACTAAGGATCTAAGGACTAATCCGTTGCATCACTCCTTAAATCCATAGACTTGTGCTCCTCTAGCACTCTTCACCACTGTCAAAGCCATTGCCTTTCTGTGCAAAATCTCTTCACTTGCAGACTTTCCTCTTCATTATCAGTTATTAGGAAGGAACGAAGGCAGGCAGCCAATACATCTTGTACAATTATAACCCTACCTGGTTTAATACTTTTTGCCTAATATTCTTTTCTAAATAAATTATATTATTTCTTTCTAACAAGAGGAGAAGGAAAAAGGAAGCACCATGTGCCATTATTGTCTGGACTCCTCTAAAAGAATTTTCTGGTCATTTTATTAACAAAACAATGCCTCAAACACATTGAAGTTAGATGAAGGTAATAAAACTGGTAGGCAACATTTAAATGTAAAGAGGGTGTGGATAATTTGAAGAACATGTAGTTTAAAAATTCCGTAAATAAGAATGAAGTTAACGGAAATGGAATGAGTTTTGTCTCGTTATTAATAGAAAGCTCCCTCATAATAGAAATAAATCAGCCAGTGCTGAACTAGAAAATGAATTAAGCTCCCAATACTCTTGGAGCTTTTTAATAACTGAACTTCTACTGATGGTAATCGGTCTCTGATGAGGATTTGCCTATAATACATGGTTAAACGTCTCCCTAAAGTACAATAGTTCAAATCTAGAACAATCGAAACAAAGTTGCTTTGAATGTACTCTAGCGTATCCGAGTAGGGAATTTAGCCTGAACTTTTCCTTACAGATACAACCATCCTGCTCCTGGACTAGAATCAGCACACCCAATACCCTGTTTGTTGGTGATAGACTCCGAATCACACCAAACTGTGAAATGGCTGAGGATGGAAGGGGCCTCTTGAGATCACCTAGTCCAACCCCTCTGCTCAAGAAGGGTCACCTAGAGCACATTGTCCAGCTTATGATCATATCTCTTTAGAGGTCTTTTGTGAAAGTGCATTAAAGATGCTATAAAAACATACAAATGTATTGCATGAGATGATACTAACATACACTTCCTCTTGTTATTTTACGCAGAGCTAGAAAAGGTGTTAGCACGGCACTAGTTGCTATAAGTCCCCAGGTCTTCAATTGTGAAACTTTTTGATTAATGGCTTTAAACAGCAAGAAAAGAAAAACACAATTTGCATACATTGCACAAGTATCTGTTAATTCACTCAACAGTCCACTAGTTAGTATGAACACTTTATATTCGTGCATGTGAAGAAATACATGGAAATGACAACAAAGAACTGTAAAAGCTTCACATCAAAACACTGTTGTGATCTGGAATGCATTTGGGTTTTGGCTGAATGGTTGGTTTGGGTTTTATTAGTAGGAAGATGAGAAATGGTAAGAAGCAAGTGCAATTCTGTCTTCTCATTCTTGTTAACTACTTGTTAACATATCTGAGTTAATTATCTAATTTATGCAGACATTAGTGGCCTGGGATGGTGACAAACTGGTATGTGTTCAGAAAGGTGAAAAGAAAAGCAGGGGCTGGAAGCACTGGATTGAAGGAGACCTACTACATCTGGTAAGGACTGCAACAAAGTACCGTCTTCCATTTCAAAGGTTTTGTTACTTGTTCTAGTTAGAATGGTCTTTATTTAGACAGCTCTGATCTCTGAACTCTAAGGAAATGCCCCCGTGCTACAAGTCAGGAATGTTGGATTTCTCTCCACCTGCTCCCAATTAAGTCACAACACTGCAGCGGTTTTTTTGCTCCACTCCACTGCCCTCCAGCTATTAACCCTTCTTGTTACATTGCACCTCTAACATCATCTCATTCTCATATAATCACTGGTAGAAAAAAAGAAACAGTATGGGAAAGATTGCAAGAAAAATATTATTTTTTGTTCTGAAAGAAGCACTATGAAATTTTAGCAGACTATGCTGTAATACAGATCAGAAACCTCTGGATACTCAAGAGGATCCTGCAAACAACCTACACTGCAATTACATTGTGCTAGTACAATAAAAAAACACAAAACATTCATACATCTTGAGTTAGTAAGCTGGAGCCCAAAATAAATGAGGTGAGTCCAAGAGAGGCCAGAAGAGCTTGTTCAGGAAATAAGCACTCCGTGAAGTCCAGAAAGATTTCAAGTAATAGCTACATAATGATAATGATTCCAGAGTTTCTTGGGAGATCAATCAAGAAATGGGCATGATAATGTTGGATGGTGCAATAGGTGGGTGCAGAAAGTTTGTGAAGGAGAGTTCATTGTTTCTATCTCATGATTTGCATCTTGATAACTACTCCTTCACAAGTTTAGCCTACAGATAGCTGGTACAGCCAGCTGCATTCCCTCAAGTCTGTGTGCTTGAAAGTCAAAGCAATGAATTAAGCCCCACTGCATGCCACCTAACTAAAAGCCAACTATCCCGCACACTTTTTTTGACCCTTTTTTAACACATATTCAAAAACTGACCTAACAAAGGTTCTACATGCTGGCACCAGGATTCAGGCTAAGACTGATAGAAACAGAGAGACGCAGCAGCTTCTTACAACAGTCTTCAGAATCTCTAATGTGGGTTTGGCCAATTGTTGGCCAAAAAGCCAGCCTCAGTTCACCTCAAAGACTTATTTGGCACAGGAATGCTGGCTAATCAGAAGACTAACTAAACTGACCGGATTGCAATGTGCAGGTGTGTCAACCTTTAAGAGGTCAGCTGCAACATTGGGCAAAAATGGTGCATTGTTCTGGCCCCTGAAAAACAGCTAGGCACATCGCTGAAGTAAATGTCCTCTTCCTTTTAAAGCATCCTCCTTTTTTTTTTAATTTCCTTGTTTCATTGCTTCTCATGAATTATGAGGTAACACATGAATTATAAACTATCACAGTATATTGTTTTAATAACAGAGCATGAAAAAGCATTGCATTGAAGAGCAATTTTTATGCATTTGTCATGTTTATTCTTCTTAGAGCTCAATTCAAGTGTCAAAATGTAATTACTGCAACATGTGGTGTGTGCCTGCTGATTGGTTACATACAATACACTATTCTCTGTTCCCTTTTTCATAAGCATATCTTTTTAATGCAGTGGCTCAGTTGTAGCAATTTCTGGTGGGATCTGCTGTGTATGCAAAATACAACTTGTACCACTATATACTTAATAATTGTTTTAATACTGTAGGAACTGACATGTGAAGACCAGGTGTGTCATCAGACATTTAAGAAGAAAAACTAAAACTGGCCAGCAAGTCACTCAGATTTTCATCGCACTATTATGCTATGTTTCATTGAAAAAGAAAAACCAAGCCAGATTTGCAATAATTCTTTGACACTGCTCTGTGAATGTATTTTGTGCATGTCTATGGGAAAAAAAAAAATTATAGAAATAACATCAAAGAGTTACAAACATGATAAATTCCTTTGCGTTTCAGTCTGGAGTTAAATAAAAGTAATTGTCTCTCAAATAATACTTTCCTACATCTTTGTAATTATTTCCAGAGGAATGTCCTTTAGCAACAAGGCTGAAAATTAAGTCACAATTATCTCAACCACAGTATATCTCTCCACAGTGCTGTGATATCCTAAAATATTTGGATGACTGAGTAAATTTGGACATTCATTGGACTGTTTCTATTTAACTTAGTCCTGGATCACTAAGTCCACAGTTTCAGGCAACAGAATGGCTCACTGAACACAATACACGGCCTTTCAAATCTAGGTTACCTATCCGAACATAGCCCAGGTCTATAGCTGCTAGTAGTTCTCACCTGATAAATGTCTCATGGCCAGCGTGAAATGCTGTAGCTCCTTAACACGGTCCTAACGTGGATCACTGACAATGCTCCAGTTAGAACTGGCATCCTACTAATTATCCCAGTGGAGAAGTCCACTGTTTGAAGCAAACTCTACATTCGAGAGTTGTTCCATGACGTGAGACCTAAGGCACACTTAAGGCTATAAGAGGAAAACTGCAGAGTATACACAGACTGCATGTACCTTGTGCCTAAAGAGTACCCAAAATGCTTCAGTCTTCACCTTGTACCTACCTTCCAGAGACTTTAAAAAGAACAGTCATTTCCATACAACTCTTCTCAGTTTTATTTAGGGTTTTTCAAAAGAATTCATGTTCTTTGCTACAGGCAAGTTTAAGTTAACCATGGATGGTGAGCACTACTTCAATAGATGGAAACTGAAATTATTCAACAAAATGTGTGCACAGGTTCCACAGAACTGAAGAAGGGCTTATATGCCCAAAAGCTCATCTGTTTTTTCCCCAACTATATGAATTATTATAATAAAATATACTGTCTTATAACCTTGCCTTGCAGATATATAAACTTTCACATAAACTTTATCACCATTTCAATTCCCTCTTGTCCATAGGCCTCCATATTCTGTTTAATACAGGAGGAGTGAAAATTCACTAAACAGGTCAGTGGTGTGGAATCAGGGAAAAGATGTGGAAAAAAAGTTTGCAGAAATGGAGGAACACATGCTTTCTCCCCATCCCCACCTGCTGCTTAGCCTACTCACTGTCAATGGCTCAGGATAGGAACAGAGTGCGACAGTCTCCAAGCTGAAAACAAAGTTACATCTGCAAAAAACCAAATCAGATTAATACGTTACTAACACTCACATGGCCATGGGCATATAAGTGCATATGTAGGGATATTTTTATGAACTGGACTTTGCTTCTTCTGATAAAATCTGACCTGGTATCAAACTTCCTGTGTATTTCAACTCATCAATGATCTCATGTTACTCTGCACAGAAGAAACTGGATCTCTAGTTGGTAAATTCCTTTTTTTTCTCTTATTCAGCCCTGACCTGGACTTTTCAGTAGATACATATTTAATTCCTATTTCTACATCTCTGCTAGTTACTAGGCTAAGAAGTACGATAGTTCATTAAGCTTTCACAATGTTATCAGAACAAAGTAATCACTAGGAAACAAAACGTGCATGTTTTAATCAGCAACATTTCTCATAGCTGATTCTTGCCAGGAGTAAGTCTCCACAATGCAGGGTTTCATAACTTTACATCAAATCATAAAGGAAAATCTTTATTATATCATAGAATCATAGAATGGTTTGAGTTGGAAGGGACCTTACAGACCATCTGGTTCCAACCCCCCTGCCATGGGCAGGGACTCCTTCCACCAGACTTCTCTGGGCAGCCTGGGCCAGGGCCTCACCACCCGCACAGGGAAGAATTCCTTCCTTATATGTAATCTAAATCTCCCCTCTTTCAGCTTGAAGCCATTACCCCTTGTCCTATCACTCCATGCCTTGTAAGAAGTCCCTCTTCAGCTTCCTTGTAGGCCTTGAAAGGCTGCTTTAAGCTCTCTCCACAGCCTGCTCTCCTCCAGGCTGAACAGCCCCAGCTCTCCCAACCTTTCCTCACAGCGGAGGCGTTCCAGCCCTCGCATCATTGCTGGGGCCTCCTCTGGCCCTGCTCACACAGCTCCAGCTCTGTCCTGTGCTGAGGACTCCAGAGCTGGACGCAGGACTCCCGGGGGGTCTCACCAAAGCAGGGCAGAGGGGCACAATCCCCACCCTTGCCCTGCCGACCATGCCGCTGGGGATGCAGCCCAGGGTACAGTTGGCCTGCTGGGCTGCCAGCACACGCTGCCAGGTCATGCTGAGCTTCTCGTCAACCTCCAAGTCCTTCTCCTCAAGGGCTGCTCTCAATCCATTCTCCACCCAGCCTGTATTTGTGCTTGGGATTGCCCTGACTCATGGGCAGGACCTTGCCCTTGGCCTTGTTGAACTTCATGAGGTATGCACGGGGCCCACCCCTCAGCCCTGTCCAGGTCCCTCGGGATGGCATCCCTTCCCTCCAGCGTGTCAACCACACCACACAGCTTGGTGTCATCAGCAGACTTGCTGAGGGTGCACTCAGTCCCACTGTCCATGTCGCCGACAAAGATGTTAAACAGCGCTAGTCCCAGTACCAACCCCTGAGGAACGCCACTCCTCACTGGTCTCCACCTGGACACCGAGCTGTTGACTGCAACTCTGTGTGTGCCACCATCCAGCCAATTCCTTATCCACCGAGTGGTGCATCCATCAGATCCATGTCTCTCCACTTTAGAGACAAGGATGTCGTGCAGGACAGTGTGAAATGCTTTGCGCAAGTCCAGGTAGATGACATCAGTTGCTCTTCTCTTATCCGTCAACACTGTAACCCCATCGCAGAAGGCCACCACATTCGTCAGGCACAATTTGCCCTTAGTCAAGCCATGCTGGCTGTCACCAATTACCTCCTTATTCTCCATGTGCCTTAGCACAGCTTCCAGGAGGATCTGTTCCTTCATCTTGCTGGGCACAGAGGTGAGACTCACTGGCCTGTAGTTCCCTGGGTCTTCCTTTCTCCCCTTTTTAAAAATGGGGGTTACATTGCCCCTTTTCCAGTCAGTGAGAACTTCACCAGAATGCCACAGCTTCTCAAATATGATGGAGACTTCATCCGCCAGTTCCCTCAGGACCTCATCAGGTACCATGGACTTGTGCACCTTCAGGTTCCTTAGGTGGTCTCAAACCTGATCTTCTACAGTGGACAGTTCTTCAGTTCTCCCAGTCCCTGCCTCTGCCACCTGCTGCTTGGGTGGTGTGGCTGGAGCACTTGCCGATGAAGACTGAGGCAAAAAAGTCATTGAGTACCTCATCCTTCTCCACATCCCGGGCAACCAGGTCTCCCGTTTCCTTCAAGAGAGGGCCCACATTTTCCCTAGTCTTCCTTTTATCACTGACATACCTGTAGCAGTTTTTCTTCTTGCCCTTGATGTCCCTGGCCAGATTCAATTCCGTCAGAGCTTTAGCTTTCCTAACCTGATCCCTGGCTGCTCAGACAGTTTCTCTGTATTGCTCCCAGGGTACCTGTCCTTTCTTCCACGCTCTGTAAGCTTCCTTTTTGTGCTTGAGTTTGTCCAGGAGCTCCTCATTCATCCATGCAGGCCTCCTGGTGTTTTTGCCTGATTTCCTCTTTGTTGGAATGCATGTCTCCTGAGCTTGGAGGAGGTGATCCTGGAATATTAACCAGCTTTCTTGGGCCCCTCTTCCCTCCAGGGCTTCAGCCCTCAGCACTCTACCGAGCAGATCCCTGAAGAGGCTAAGGTCTGCTCTCCTGAAGTCCAGGGTAGTGAGCTTGCTGTGCACTCTCCTTGCTGCCCTAAGCATCTTGAACTCCACTATTTCATGGTCACTGCAGCCAAGGCTGCCCCTGAGCTTCACATTCCCCATCAGCCCCTCCTTGTTGTTGAAAACAAGGTCCAGCATAAAACCTCTCCTCATTGGCTCAAAGATCTATCATTAATTCACAATATATCACAAAGAACTATCATTAACTCACAAATGATGAGTTTGAAGATGGAAAGCAAGCATTCTTCAAATGATTTCTTGTTAGACTTACTAGTTTTATGTAACAGATATGATTGGGAAATAAATGAAGTAGGCAATTGGACACTTCAGCAGACTTTCATTAGGAGAAAACTGGATCTGACCCTATTTTTTTGTCAATTTTGGAAATGACAATTCCAGACTTTTTAAAGGCAGTGAGAAAATGTGCAAGGCTTTTTATGCTCCAAAACAACATTTTCTTCCTGCACATGCTGATATGTAAGAACTTGCAGCATCCTTTACAACTGCATGCACAGAACTGGAGACAGAGGAGATATTCCTTATGTTGCATTATAATTACTTCCAAAGGTACACTTGTTTTATCACATTTGTGAGGTTAGGTTAGTCTCTAAGCTGTACAAAGTCCCTTATCTCCCTGTCAGCAGATTAAATACTTGCACTGGAGGAACGGACCTCACTGGTAAATCAGAGAATGTTCATTCAACATTTTTTCAGCCCTCTGGCATGCAGTGCTGTCTCAGCTGTTTTGAAGGATTACCATTTGCATTGATTCTTTTCCTTGTAGAGAATATTACTCAAATACAGCTAACAGGAAGGGAATTTACCAGCAACCTTCCGATCCAGAAAACAGAAAAGCCTGTACTATAACAAAAGCAACTCCTAGTGAATACAGCACTGGGCAAAGAGTCAGTACCACTACCTGTCACTGGACTTTTCAAATAACAATGACAAAGGTGTGTGTAAGAAATGTTTATGGTGGAATTTCTAAAAATCCTCCGCTTGAACCAATTTTTCTCCCTAAAAGTCAACTAGAAACTTCTTCTCAACTTCTGAAAGAGGAAAGCATTACTGCAGGCAAACACTGTAGAATAATGTTGTAAATGCTCCTACCAATAATGTTCTGTGGCTAGTTCCTCAGATCACAGAATCACAGAATAGTAGGGGTTGGAAGGGACCTCTGTGGGTCATCTAGTCCAACCCCCCTGCCGAAGCAGGGTCACCTACAGTAGGCTGCACAGGATCTTGTCCAGGCGGGTCTTGAATATCTCCAGAGAAG